TTGACATTCCTTCGTCTTAAAATATTTCCTATGATTATTTCCTTCTATGTATTATTTTTATGATTAGAAGGGGCAAAGCTTATAAAATATGTTAAAAACTCTAATTTCACAGTACTGTTCTTTGAGTTAGAAGTGACACTATTTACATATACTAGGAATTGATTTTCAGCAGTATTGTTCAGATGAATTAATCTATGTGTAATCTAAGTGTATTTGTAAGTAAGTAAGTTGGTTTGTGGTCCTGTTACAGAGAAATCTAATTCGGAGGGGACCCTTGACCTCACCGCAACCGCTATACTTTCTTAGTTTTACTTGCTCATCTGTTAAGTATTAGAGTTATCAAGGGCTGTGTATAAGATTTACCTACTCAGTTCAATATGAGGCCATACAGATGGAGGAGCTAGCTTTCTCAGTATATTTAACTTTTATTTTCCCATAAAGTAAACTAATGTAACATGGCAATTGAAGTTGTTATATTTATGAAGACTAAAATAAATTTCAGGCTAGTGAGGAAATTTGAAGGAACCATTGAAATTTTTCCCTTTAAGATTCAGAGTAGTGTTCTTAGAATGAGAATGGCTGATTATAAAACTTACAAATTCCAAGTTTTATGTTTCAGATACAAAAGAAACAAATTCCAATTAAGTAGTGAAACACTGAATGTTCGTATTTACCTACTGGTATCATTACCCTATTATCTATATTGACACACTCATTCCATGTATTTGAATACAAGTACGTGTATTTGGTTCAAACTGTCATATGTGTTGAACACTTTGCCTGATAGACTGTGCTATGTATTATGTTAAAGTGCTCCTCACTTCTTTCCAGTAGATTTACTGACATGACCTGAAATAAACATTTAAAATGGCTTTGTAAGAGACACTTTGCCAAGGTATTAATCTGGCAGCATGGCATTTTGTACTAATGCAGAATAGTCATGAAAATAAGTCCTGACTGCTGTTTACTTATTTCAGTTTGGGCATGAAGCCTATTATTGTAGTAGATCTTAATTCTTAGTATTTCTTAATATTGTGTTACAGGTAAGTATAGGAGAGAGAAAATCTTTCATTTGACTGTGGTTTTAAAATAGTGGTTTTACTACATGTGACCATCAACATTTTATTGGTACACTTTTTCAAGGGAAGGAATTTTCACTGCAGATTGCTAACCACACTTACCGTACAGTTTGTTACATTTGCTTCCAGTTTTGAGCAGTTGCCTGGAGCTGTTGGGCAGCTGGTTTCCTTTCTTTGGGGGAGGATAATGGTAGTGGTAAAGAGCACTGGGTATGTTTTAACTATGAAATATTTTTAAGTGTGAAACTACAAATTACCATATGAGGTTATTTTCCTAAATGTATGTGGTAGCACTACGTAAATATTTCATGGTTTGAACCCACCAGTGGCGGAGAAACGTGGCAGTCTGCTCCTGTAAAGATTATAGCCTTAGAAACCTTATAAGGCAGTTCTGCTCTGTCCTACAGGGTCACTATGAATTTGAATTGACTCGATGGCAATGGGTTTTCTAGGCTGTAATCTTTACAGGATTAGATAATACACCCATTCCTCACCTATCGACATGGTTAGGTACCAAAGACCAGGTTGTTATGCAAAAATCAGCATTACGCAAAAATGGAGGATGACCACATCAGATCACAAAATGGAGGATGACTACATCATTGCATAACTGCCAAATTACATCATTATGTAACCACCAAACCACTGAGAATCATGGTCCAGCCAAGTTGACACATAACCATCACAGCCAGCGTTATTCTTGCCTCGTATCTCAGCATTTGTTACTGCCAGATGTATGTCGTTAGTGTGCAAAATAGTTGTATAGTGGATTTTTTACTATTGTTGTAAATGCAAACTGTCAGATAACAAGATAGTTGATAAGTGAGGAGTGGGTGTATACATCTTTATGGGAGCATATCACTAGGTCTTTCTCCTGCAGAGCTGCTGGGTGGGTTCAAACCACCAGCCTTTTGGTTATCAGCCAAGAGTTTAACCACTGTGCCACCAGGGCTCCCATTTCTTTAAAAAAATTTTTTGTCTTCCATCTTCTCCTTTGGGGACTTAATAATAAATGTTTATTAAGCTGCTTGAAATTGTTGCAGAGCTCACTGATGTTGTGTTAACTTTTTTTTTTTTTTTTTTTTTGGTGTTTTTTCTATTTTAGTTTGGATAGTTTCTATTGCTATGTCTTCAAGTTCACTAATCTTTTCTTCAAAATCTAATCTGGCATTAATCCCATCAAGTATATTTTTCATCTTAGATTTTGTAGTTGATATCTCTAGACATTTGATATGGGTCTTTTTTATATCTTCCATGCCTCTACTTAATGTTTTCACTTTCTTCTAGCTTGAATATATGAAATACAAGTATAATAACTCCTTTGAGTACTAATTTTATCATCTGTGTCATTTATGGGTTTGGTTGGATTAATTTTTTCCTCTTGTAGATCCTGTTTTCCTGCTTCTTTGGATGCTGCTAATTTTTTATTAGATGCCAAACCAAAACCAAACCCATTGCCATCAAGTCAATTCTGACTCATAACCACCCTATAGGACAGAGTAGAACTACCTTGTGGGGTTTCCAAGGAGCAGCTGGTGGATTTGAACTGCTGACGTTTTGGTTAGTAGCTGAGCTATTAACCACTGCACCACCAGCGCTCCCATCAGATGCCAGACATTGTAAATTTTACCTTGTTGGGTGCTGATTACTTTTGGGTTCCTTATATTCTTGAGCTTTGTTCTTTGACTTGCTTAAGTTACTTAGAAACAGTTTGATCCTTTTGGGTCTTTTAACCTTTGTTTTGTCTAGGGCTAAGTTTATCCACTAAAGACACAAAACCCTTGTGAGTACTCTGCCTAATGCCCTGTAAATGATTAGGTTGTCACTCTAGCTGATTGAAACAGGAAGTATTCCCAGTCCTGTGTGAGGTTCAGGGATTGTTCCTTCTGGCTGGTTTTTTTTCAGCCTTAATGTGGTTTTGTCATGTGCTAATCAGTATGCAGATGAAGACTTGAGGATTCACCCTCTGCAGACCTCCAGCATTCTCTTTCTGTGTATCTCTGTCCTGTTTGGTACTGTGTTCTGTAAACTATAGCCTCCTTGGTCTTCTGGGTCTCCCAGCTTCATCTCTTCAACTTTGGGTGAGCGCTGGGCTCCCCTTTGGTTTCCCCTCTATGTACAACAGCCTTGAACCTTTCTCCAGTCGGTAAGCTTGGGCAGTTGTATGATTCATCTTCTTTCTTTTTTCTCAGGGTTCACTGTCTTTTGTTGCCTGGTATCCAGTGTCTTAGAAACCATTATTTCATATATTTTGTGTGGTTTTTAGTTGTTTAAGCCAGGTAGGTTAATCTGTCCTTATTACTAAATGTTGGCCAGAAGTGGAAGTTGATATGTCTGACTTTTAAATATTTAGTTTTCTAATTCTTGAGTGATTAAAAGTTTAAAAAAAAAAGTATTATTTACCTTTTCTTAATTTTTTCTTTTTTTATTATAGTAAAATATACATAATTTAAATATCTTGATTTTTTTAAAAATTAAAACTAGGAGGTAAAATTGTTTTTAAAAGTTGGAATGTACTTAAGGTGTTAACAATAAATCTGTTTTATTTCGTGTGCTTTACAGCATGACTATGCTTGCAGTAGAATTCAAATTAAATTCTTTAATAGAATGACTATTTTTATTTCTCTTAATTCATCACAATATACCAGTTTCATTTCTGATTCTTATTTAAACTTATATAAAATGCAGTCCTAGTTTAAAAAAAAAAAATCATTGATGTTCCATTGTAAATTCCTTCCTTTCAAAATTTCTCTGGTGTTTGTCCACAAAAATGGATTTGCTAAATGAATTTCTTTTTTAAATAGGGGAAAATAAACCTTCATAGTGTATCTAGTTTCAGTTATAATAGTCTAGCAAGTAACTTCTCTCAAATTAATTTTTATTTGATAAGGTTTTAACTAGAATCTTTTGCAGGTACTAGTACTTTTGTTTTATAAAAAGTGTTTGGAAATCTTGATATTTCAAAAAATGGTTTATTTAAAAATTGACTTAATGTCATGAATGATGCTAGTGTTTTTAGAATTGGAAATGTTAGATTGCAGATGTTTTTACAAACACTACTATTTTAATAAAATGTTAATAAACTTCTTAATGCTAAAAGAATATCTTTTATACTTATTTAAAGCTATTTACAGATGATAATTTCAAAAATAGAAGTGAAACCTAAGAATAGTGCCTAGTGTCAAAGTACTTAAAGCTGAGAAACTTAGCTGCCCACCTAGTTTTACATGTTTATCCTAATGAGATGAAATTTTTTAGTTTATTTCTTCTTCTAGCTCATAGTCTTTAATACTGGCTAAAAAATAATTTAGTATAGAACAGTCTAAAAAGCATGAAATAATTAGAAACCAAACATTAACTACTCTGTTTGGGCCACCAATTGATTGAGCTTAGAGTGTCGATCAGAATTAAAAAGTTGCTTACTTCACACATAAACTCAAAATTATGTATTTTCACAGACTTCTGTGGTCTCGGTCCCTTTTCTAGAACCCAGGGTTAAAGTCAGTAATTGTCCGTTGTTGTTGTTGTTAGGTGTCGCTTAGTCGCTTCCAACTCATAGCGATCCCGTGTACAACAGAACGGTCCTGTGCCGTCCTCACAGTTGTTGCTATGCTTGAGCCCATCATTGCCACTGTGTCAGTAGTCATGCTTGATTATTTGGAAGTGATATATATGATCCTTCTGGATAGAAATTACCATATGAAATTATTTTCCTAAGTGTACGTGACTTAGAAATATCAGTGCATTTTTCAGGATATTTACCATATTCAGCATATTTTAGTAGATAATTATCTCAGGCAGTATGTAAAGTAGAATTTTTCTAGTGTTTTTTAAAATCATATATCAGTATACAGATACCAATGTTAAGCTAGCTAAATTACTGCTTTTCTTTTCTAGAATTCAGCATACATTTAAAATAAAATGTCAACCTCCTGGAGTGATCGGTTACAGAATGCAGCAGATATGCCTGCTAACATGGATAAGCACGCCCTGAAAAAGTATCGGCGAGAAGCCTATCATCGGTAGGTATTTTGTCTATGTAATCCTCAAAACAACTCTGTGAAGTGGGTACATATTAACTTCATTTGACAGATGATGAAATTAATGTACAGAGAAGTCGTTTATCCCAGATCATGTAGCTAGTTTGTGATTCAAACCCAATCCAAAGTATAGACTTTTAACCACTAAATAGTATACTGTACAACTTCATATATTTACTATAAAGTCCTCAAGAGTAGAGCATCTTCAGCTGCTAAAAATTGCACCTTAGTTAATAAGAAAGAAATTCTTAATTGACATTTACCACAAATTGATGTAATTTTTTTACAGATTTAAAAATTGTGTCTACTGGCTTCTGTGTATTGGATTGAATGTGGGTAACTCTGGGTATTATCAAAGTTTTTTGTATTGATTTAGACTTTAAAGTTTCCTCTAGTTTTTCCTTTAAGAGCTTAAAATATTTTTTTTTAATTTACTTATCGTTTTATATAGACTCAGTTAAATGCCTACTTCTACTTAAATCTTAAGTAGCTAAGATACTTGGAAGTGAATATTATATTTAGGAGTCAGTAATTTTAGGCAGAAATTAGAAGTTTACACTTTCAGTGAATTGATAGCATAGAAAGATCTGGGCCCCACTAGAAACATCTCTGCCTTCCACCCAGGAAAGCCAGGAATAAGTAGAGATGCGGATACATTGGCACTGCTTAAGGTTATATGGGAATTCCAGAAAACTTATAACAACTGATAATCACGCCTCTGTTTCTGGCCTTAGAGGAAAGAAAATAAATATCACTTTTAAAATCTTACTGGAAAGATGGTTAAGCTAGTTTATACAAGTAAGTTTTTTTTAAGCAGACAGAAACATAATTCTGATTTCACTCTTCCCTGTATAGAAAAGCTAGGTCAGAATTAGGTAACATTTTAGTGTTTCAATGAGTACTAATATTTTAAAGAAAACAGTTATTTGATATCGAGTGTTTTGGAAGTTAATGTTATCAATAGTTGGTTATAAAGTAGACTGGTGCTACTTGCCTGATAGTAGGCCACTATATAGCATTTATAGATATTTAGGCGGTTATTACTCCTTAAACCCTGAAAGAGTGAAAAGACATTTCAGTTTTCCATCAAGGTGTGAAGACTCAAAATCAGTCATTGGTACTAATGATCCTCTACCATGTGTGAAACATGTTATTAGATACGGCATGGGAATTAAAGTGTAAAACAGAGTGGTTATGTGTGTCTATATAAATAAAACACGTTTTTGGAAGAGTGTATACTGTATGTGTTGTTAGCTGCTGTCAAGTTGGCCCCTGACTTCTGGCTACTGCATGCATAATGGAACAAAATGCTGCCCGATCCTGCACCATCCCTATGATTAGTTGTGGATTGGACCTTTGTGATCCATAGGGCTTTTGTTGGCTGATTTTTGGAAGTAGATCACCACACCTTTCTTCCTAGTCTGTCTTAGTCTGGAAGCTCCACTAACACCTGTTCAACATCATAGAAATGCACAAGCACTGACAGAGAGGTGGTAACTGTTCATGAGGTGCATTGGCTGGGAATTGAACTTAGATCTGCCACATAGAAGGCAAGAATTCTGACCAGTGAGCTACCAACCTCTTACATATAGGGTGTTTTATACTTTTTAGCATATTTTTTTATGTTCAGTTATTTGCTTATTCTTTTTGCCATAAAATATACATTTGGTTAGCATGTAACTAACATTTTTAGGAGTAGAAAGAAAGGCTAGACTTATATAATGAAGAGACGTCATCTAGTAAACATCAAGTGTCGTAATTGTATTTAATGTCATAGCTTGAGTGCACCTCTGACTCATCAGGAATAATAATTCCTGGAAATTCTTTTTTTTTTTTTTTTATTGTACTTCAGGTGAAGGTTTACAGAACAAATAGTTTCTCATGAAACAGTAGTACACATATTGTTTTATGACATTGGTTAACAACCCCACAACATGTCAACCCT